TGATTCAGGCTCGTTTCGCCGAAAAGTCCGGAGCGCTGGCGTTGGTCGTCGGTCCAGCGTCACGAATCCAACGTAATCGCAAACCCATGAAGGTATGATGACCATCTCACCCCCACTGGTATTACCGTACTCAGATGATTCGTTACAGATTCGTGCATCGAAGATTCCCGTGGTCGTTCTGGACGACCAAGAGACGCAGCGGCTGCGACAGCAACTGGCCGAGGCCGGTCAAGGAGCCGCCGTGGCTCACCTTCGACTCGACTTTATCGAGCCGAAGCCACCTCATGTACTCAAACTACAGGTAGGCACTCTCAAAACAAACTCAAGCAAACCATGAAAGGGCTTTTAAATCTCAGCTCATCAAAATATTGCTTTTGGCCAGCTTTTGGAGGGGGAGGGTACATGTTCCAGTGCGGCTTTCATCCAAGGGCACGTGCGGAACTGTAATCGAACTACTTCTTTGTCGCCCCCACCCCTCGATATTCTTAAGTTAATGTTCTTAGTCCAATCCAACCGAATATTTCCTTTGTCTATAACACTGATCTAAGTAATAGTTCGAAGCACATTCCGCCAATAGTTTCACTGGACACCCCTTGCGTGGGCGTAGCTGCTGTGACCACGACTGGCAGGGATAACGTCACCTTTGTGACACAAAGCGCTAGAACTCAAGGGTAAGTGAAAAATAAAACTTGCAACGATGGACACCTAAGCAATTAGGGCCTTTACCCCGGTCTAATGCGTTTGCGTCTGCGTCTCGCTGGTCCCTATGGTCTTTTCCCCCGGCTGTCCGAACTCGTCCATCGTCCGGTAAATGAGGCTCTTATTTTCAGTTATCTCAACGGCTTCTCTATTTTTCACTGACGATTCACCCTCTGCAGTAGGTTGTTGACTTTGAAGGAGACGACATCTCCGCAGTCACCTTCAAAGTAAACAACCACATCTGGGTGATTTCGAAATGAGCCTTTAATCAATGGTTAGCAATGGCCACACCTCGTAACGAGTGCTTCATAAACCTGGGGTCATCGACAAAAATTCTGCGCTTACTTAGCCCAGGAGCACGGAGGAGTTCATATCCCATTCCTAGTCATTACTTTCTATGCGATCTCTGATGAAAGAAACTCTTAAATGATGGTCAGAGTGGCAGCGCCTCTTTCTGGCCCCAAAATAGTCATAGATCTTGCGATGGCGGCCTCAGCTTTGTTTTTTCAGGTCTTCCGTCCGAGTTTACTAAACCTGTCGTTGATTGGCCTGCTGATAGTACTGGTATTGTTCATCACACTGCTCGTATTCGTGAAGATACGATGGCGGCCCACGGCTCACAGAGACCTTTGGTTACGCACCTTGGCACGAGCTGCTGTTGGCAAAATGGAGATCCGAAAGTTCCAGAAGGTTAGTGAAAAATAGGGGATGGTCCTTAGGTACCGTCCGGTTGTTTTCTCTGTGTTTTCCAAATATCAGTGCTATCTAAGAATGT